AACCATCTAATACCAACAATTCACAGTGCACCGTAATGGCGAGCCACCTAGCATGGTGGCCACATTGCAAACATGACTGATAGAATTCAGTCTGCACCGAAGATAGGACTAGACGCATTACACTAGTGACTGACTAGTGTGCAATCAAAAATATCCAATACAGTCCTACAGGAGGTCAGTCGCGAGCCTGAATAGCTCAGTGGTAACGTCTCTGACTGCAGCACTGGGTGACGCGGGTTCGAATCTCAGAAGGGACATCAGTTCCTTCAAGGTTGCAGATACGCCTTGCTGATGAGTGCCAACTAGCACGAAACCTAGGTCCAAGGCTTCCTGCCGATTGCCTCCAACCATCTAATACCAACAATTCACAGTGCACCGTAATGGCGAGCCACCTAGCATGGTGGCCACATTGCAAACATGACTGATAGAATTCAGTCTGCACCGAAGATAGGACTAGACGCATTACACTAGTGACTGACTAGTGTGCAATCAAAAATATCCAATACAGTCCTACAGGAGGTCAGTCGCGAGCCTGAATAGCTCAGTGGTAACGTCTCTGACTGCAGCACTGGGTGACGCGGGTTCGAATCTCAGAAGGGACATCAGTTCCTTCAAGGTTGCAGATACGCCTTGCTGATGAGTGCCAACTAGCACGAAACCTAGGTCCAAGGCTTCCTGCCGATTGCCTCCAACCATCTAATACCAACAATTCACAGTGCACCGTAATGGCGAGCCACCTAGCATGGTGGCCACATTGCAAACATGACTGATAGAATTCAGTCTGCACCGAAGATAGGACTAGACGCATTACACTAGTGACTGACTAGTGTGCAATCAAAAATATCCAATACAGTCCTACAGGAGGTCAGTCGCGAGCCTGAATAGCTCAGTGGTAACGTCTCTGACTGCAGCACTGGGTGACGCGGGTTCGAATCTCAGAAGGGACATCAGTTCCTTCAAGGTTGCAGATACGCCTTGCTGATGAGTGCCAACTAGCACGAAACCTAGGTCCAAGGCTTCCTGCCGATTGCCTCCAACCATCTAATACCAACAATTCACAGTGCACCGTAATGGCGAGCCACCTAGCATGGTGGCCACATTGCAAACATGACTGATAGAATTCAGTCTGCACCGAAGATAGGACTAGACGCATTACACTAGTGACTGACTAGTGTGCAATCAAAAATATCCAATACAGTCCTACAGGAGGTCAGTCGCGAGCCTGAATAGCTCAGTGGTAACGTCTCTGACTGCAGCACTGGGTGACGCGGGTTCGAATCTCAGAAGGGACATCAGTTCCTTCAAGGTTGCAGATACGCCTTGCTGATGAGTGCCAACTAGCACGAAACCTAGGTCCAAGGCTTCCTGCCGATTGCCTCCAACCATCTAATACCAACAATTCACAGTGCACCGTAATGGCGAGCCACCTAGCATGGTGGCCACATTGCAAACATGACTGATAGAATTCAGTCTGCACCGAAGATAGGACTAGACGCATTACACTAGTGACTGACTAGTGTGCAATCAAAAATATCCAATACAGTCCTACAGGAGGTCAGTCGCGAGCCTGAATAGCTCAGTGGTAACGTCTCTGACTGCAGCACTGGGTGACGCGGGTTCGAATCTCAGAAGGGACATCAGTTCCTTCAAGGTTGCAGATACGCCTTGCTGATGAGTGCCAACTAGCACGAAACCTAGGTCCAAGGCTTCCTGCCGATTGCCTCCAACCATCTAATACCAACAATTCACAGTGCACCGTAATGGCGAGCCACCTAGCATGGTGGCCACATTGCAAACATGACTGATAGAATTCAGTCTGCACCGAAGATAGGACTAGACGCATTACACTAGTGACTGACTAGTGTGCAATCAAAAATATCCAATACAGTCCTACAGGAGGTCAGTCGCGAGCCTGAATAGCTCAGTGGTAACGTCTCTGACTGCAGCACTGGGTGACGCGGGTTCGAATCTCAGAAGGGACATCAGTTCCTTCAAGGTTGCAGATACGCCTTGCTGATGAGTGCCAACTAGCACGAAACCTAGGTCCAAGGCTTCCTGCCGATTGCCTCCAACCATCTAATACCAACAATTCACAGTGCACCGTAATGGCGAGCCACCTAGCATGGTGGCCACATTGCAAACATGACTGATAGAATTCAGTCTGCACCGAAGATAGGACTAGACGCATTACACTAGTGACTGACTAGTGTGCAATCAAAAATATCCAATACAGTCCTACAGGAGGTCAGTCGCGAGCCTGAATAGCTCAGTGGTAACGTCTCTGACTGCAGCACTGGGTGACGCGGGTTCGAATCTCAGAAGGGACATCAGTTCCTTCAAGGTTGCAGATACGCCTTGCTGATGAGTGCCAACTAGCACGAAACCTAGGTCCAAGGCTTCCTGCCGATTGCCTCCAACCATCTAATACCAACAATTCACAGTGCACCGTAATGGCGAGCCACCTAGCATGGTGGCCACATTGCAAACATGACTGATAGAATTCAGTCTGCACCGAAGATAGGACTAGACGCATTACACTAGTGACTGACTAGTGTGCAATCAAAAATATCCAATACAGTCCTACAGGAGGTCAGTCGCGAGCCTGAATAGCTCAGTGGTAACGTCTCTGACTGCAGCACTGGGTGACGCGGGTTCGAATCTCAGAAGGGACATCAGTTCCTTCAAGGTTGCAGATACGCCTTGCTGATGAGTGCCAACTAGCACGAAACCTAGGTCCAAGGCTTCCTGCCGATTGCCTCCAACCATCTAATACCAACAATTCACAGTGCACCGTAATGGCGAGCCACCTAGCATGGTGGCCACATTGCAAACATGACTGATAGAATTCAGTCTGCACCGAAGATAGGACTAGACGCATTACACTAGTGACTGACTAGTGTGCAATCAAAAATATCCAATACAGTCCTACAGGAGGTCAGTCGCGAGCCTGAATAGCTCAGTGGTAACGTCTCTGACTGCAGCACTGGGTGACGCGGGTTCGAATCTCAGAAGGGACATCAGTTCCTTCAAGGTTGCAGATACGCCTTGCTGATGAGTGCCAACTAGCACGAAACCTAGGTCCAAGGCTTCCTGCCGATTGCCTCCAACCATCTAATACCAACAATTCACAGTGCACCGTAATGGCGAGCCACCTAGCATGGTGGCCACATTGCAAACATGACTGATAGAATTCAGTCTGCACCGAAGATAGGACTAGACGCATTACACTAGTGACTGACTAGTGTGCAATCAAAAATATCCAATACAGTCCTACAGGAGGTCAGTCGCGAGCCTGAATAGCTCAGTGGTAACGTCTCTGACTGCAGCACTGGGTGACGCGGGTTCGAATCTCAGAAGGGACATCAGTTCCTTCAAGGTTGCAGATACGCCTTGCTGATGAGTGCCAACTAGCACGAAACCTAGGTCCAAGGCTTCCTGCCGATTGCCTCCAACCATCTAATACCAACAATTCACAGTGCACCGTAATGGCGAGCCACCTAGCATGGTGGCCACATTGCAAACATGACTGATAGAATTCAGTCTGCACCGAAGATAGGACTAGACGCATTACACTAGTGACTGACTAGTGTGCAATCAAAAATATCCAATACAGTCCTACAGGAGGTCAGTCGCGAGCCTGAATAGCTCAGTGGTAACGTCTCTGACTGCAGCACTGGGTGACGCGGGTTCGAATCTCAGAAGGGACATCAGTTCCTTCAAGGTTGCAGATACGCCTTGCTGATGAGTGCCAACTAGCACGAAACCTAGGTCCAAGGCTTCCTGCCGATTGCCTCCAACCATCTAATACCAACAATTCACAGTGCACCGTAATGGCGAGCCACCTAGCATGGTGGCCACATTGCAAACATGACTGATAGAATTCAGTCTGCACCGAAGATAGGACTAGACGCATTACACTAGTGACTGACTAGTGTGCAATCCAAAAAAGTCTTTCTCCTCTCAAGTTAAGTAATGAGTATTAGAAACTACTGTTGCGTAAAGCTTTTCAATAGATAACAGAAATTCCAGAATACGGTAGATGTTCTGGCTTAGACTTGTGATTGTTTAGCTGTTTATTTTTATCTGAATGTTATCTGGTGCATGGCCATGTATAGTACTGGTTTCTCAATAAGATAATTTGCCGTCGTAATTCCTCCCATTATTTTCACTGGAGGAAACGCTGTCAGCCTGCATATTAGATTGTTCGTGAGTAGTTCACTTATACGTCACCTCTCGCAGATATATTGTATCTTAGAAAAAAAATGTCCTCGATTCTCTGGCTTTGTGTATCGCCTGCATCCATTGTTGGTATGGAAGTTGAGGTGTGCAGAATTTGAAACCACAAAAGCTAAGTCTGAGATTCTTGCCGAATTAGGGAATATTTCCATTTCTTTCTTCATGAAAGACAGCGATTTTTAGGTCTTGTTCGTTGATTTGGATTACTTGTTGAGATACTTGACGACTTAATTATGAAATAGTCATAGAGCACTAACTTCATTAAGAAGCTTGCTGACGTCTCATCCAGCAAGTCTCAAAGCGCAGAGAACATCAACCGATTTCAATCTTCGTCCTAAGCTACAAATCTTTAGCAATTAGGTGTCATATGGACTGCGTAAAATAGGTCCATTTGCAGGACAGTAATGTGTTTGGTAAAAACACACTGCAGTGAATGTTATCCTGTGAATTTGTTATATGGTGTCATTGCTCCTTGCTGCACATAATTGGTCACAAATCCCTTTTTCTTTGGATATTTCACCGATTATTTAATTACATTTTCCACTGCCAGTGAAGGTAATCTAGATTCGTCTCAAATATTTTTAGAAGTCTTGATATACTAGTGCGAACTGCTTTTTCCTAGTGTTTACTTCCCAAATGTTGTTGAGCTTGTATCTGACTGAAATATCGTGACGACATCCGAAAGGCTATATGTATCCTCGGTTTTATGTGGTAGGTGTTAAGTACAGTTGGTCTTCAGTCACTTTATTTCCACAAAGCGTTCTAAAAGAAGAGCGTCAATGCAACACTTTCTCATATAGTGTTTCCTATTTCCTTATTTCATTTGTGTTTCACTGAATACAAAAGTGTGAGCTACAAATACGCTGAGCTTTTTATCTTTTCCTGTTCTACATTTTAGGTCTACTACTTTCATTTACAATCTAGCATTTCTTCCCGAATGTCTAACGTCGCTGTGAGAGTTATTTCTATAGTTATAGGTGTATTCTTGATATCCTTTGGGACATTGAAACTAGGCCCCTTATTTATTGATGAGTTATATCGCAGCGTGGTAAGTTGTATTAATAGAAATTACACCTAGTGTTTTGTTTTACAGAGAAAGAGTTCCATTAGAATGCTTGAAACATTTCCACTTAGTTCATTGACTGAATGGAATGTTAGTCCTGATGTAATCAGGCGAGTTTATGGAGCAATGGAAGTTGTGGGTGGTGTTGTGCTTGCATCTTGTCCAGGTATCGCACAAGATGTCAGCAATGTTGTACTGCTTGTCTTGATGTTACTCCACTTGTTTGGCATTTGGCGTGCAGGAGATGGGTTAAGAGAAGCATCCAATGCTATTGTATTATGCTTGATGTTGACCTGCAGATTCATCATAAGAGTTCAAGTGAGTTTGTTTTTTCTGTAAAAATTATGCTTTCACAGTAATACTTTTCAAATTTGTATGTAAGTTGCGTATTTATTTAGTGCTTTCGAATTTGGAGGTGTGGTTTACTGGATAATGCATTTGTGCGTCGGTGGCACAGCGGTTATGACTCTCGCCGATCATGCACATGGTTCGGGGTTCGATCCCCTGCGACGCACACCTGATATCTATGGTCGGCCTGGAAAATTTAGGCTACCGATATCACATGGTGTAAATTCCATACCTGTACCAAAAAGTACGGTGCGGAATCAAACTGTAATAAAAAATTCAAAAAAATTCTTGCTCACTCTGACCGAAACACCCTTGGTAGTGTCATAACGCGAATCAGCATACTACATATAACTTTCACATCAAACGATGAATACATATTGATCCCAAAATATTGTTCTGAGATTTATAGTTTACGACCCTTACTAGTGATTGCACTCTTAATATGATTACTAATTTACCATAGTTCATTTAACTCTGTGCAGGTTTGAGTTGGCTTGGAGGCACTACCTCCTTCATTCAGGGTTAGAGAAATAGTTTGGTCATGGATGCTGAAAAGCTCAAAAACCCGAAAGGATTGAAGTTCTCCCTTATGATATTCAAAATATTCTGCATTATGTTGTGTCTTTGTCTAACAGGGCGACTTGTGCACTCTAAGTTAACCAGCCTTTATTCAGGGAGAAGTGAATTACAGAGGCATTGGAAGTTGTCAGGATCACTTCTATCAGTATATCCATGGCAGTTAACAATATTTCTGACAGACACTAATCGTTTTCACTTTAGTTGGCAGTTGTTCGTAAACTCTTGGATGTTGAAACTCAGTTACCCAAAATAGATTTTTCATGTACCAGGCTTTGAGGCACTAATTATTAAGGCTTGATGATAATACTCAGGCTGAAGATACACATCTTTGTGATTAGTATAACATAGCATATAGTCTCAACACTTACTTCACAGCCTGGCGATGACTTCTAGCGATCGATTGTGTCGAGTGCCTGTTCCTTGTAAAGAGTGTGTGGCAAATGTTAAACTCTGCTAGATGTGTTTGTTTTTCACGGCATGTAAAAGAGTAGAGATTTAATTAGTGTGCGTTTATCGGGAACAGGAACTTTTTGTCTCTTTCAGGTTTGTTGATTATGAGTTCCACTTGGTTTCGAAGTGATAATAACTGAAACATTGCATGAACACTTATTTTTGACCGCATACATTTAGAGTTACTTCTCATTCCAGAATGGTTGGATATATCGCCGAGTCTTAAGATTGGCCGTATGCAACCATTTTCAAACAGACTTTCTATGTACTTAACAGTCACGTGAAAATAATACTATGTACGTTCAGGTGCTTTAGATAGACAGATTCTTCATTTTGTGTTACGGAGTAAGATCAACCGCTTTCCCGCAGGTTTCTTTCGATTGCTGTTAATTATTTGTCTTATTGATCTGTAAGTCAACAAGGTGTCTATGAAGGGGTACAAAAATGACACTTGTTTTGTACCAATTATGGATATGGGGAAGTATATTTGTCCGAGTAGCTATCAGCGATGCGTTGATGGTTCAAAGGTAGAATTCTTATCAAGCACGTATGTAGTTCGGGTTCGATCCCCGACCGATGAACTCTTGAACCTTGTCGAATTTATCAGTCGGTAGCAATTTTGGGAAAGTGGGAAGATTTGGCCTGAGTCTAGAAACATAGACCCGTGAAAGCAGCAGCATTGCTACTGAGACTTTTAAAGCTGTAAGCCCTTATGTTTCACTCAAGACGCAAGGGAAATGGTTAGCAGTTTCTAACCATGAGTCAGTCAGTCGTGTCAATTGGAGTTATACGGTCAGTAATAAATAATAAGAGGAATCAGTCGGTGGGGTTTTGAAACTTCATATACTTAGACGATTAGGACATGTGTTATGTATTTTGAGCCACAACCTTCCTCAATAAGCAGTATTAGCTGATATAGGACTAGATTGGGAAATGAGTTAAGAATAATCAGGACAAAACATGACGCATAATGAGAAAGTCTCTGACTTACTGTTTTGAGGTCTGTGGAGATATGCAGACTGCCACACTGTGGTCCTCGATATGCTGACAACTAATGGTTCGAGACTGTTGATAACATGGATAAAAGTCGTTTGCAATGACTCTACTCATGGTCACTTATCGTTATCATTCAGATTTTGAAAATCCTCACTAATTTACATGTAATTATATTTTCTTCTGTAAAACACCGCTCATTGGAGTTTCATGACATTGTCTTACTTCTGAATGTACTCTTCTGAAGTGAGGGACTTTGACTGATGCATTTTGTCCGAAGTTTTACGTTAATAAGTCAGTCTTCTGAGGTCGTGTTTGTACCACACTCGTCTTCTCATCATCACCTATGTCAAATATTGGTCAGACTAAGGCGAAGTACTAAGGAGAAAGTTGAGACAGCAGATATCTGTGGTCAGAGTTACTGAGTGATATGACAAAATCAGTGATAGCTTATCTTGATTAAATTCATAATCACCATAGGAACATAAAACAAAGGTTTAAGCAAAGAAAATTCTCTTTGCCATAATTTTGTCTTCGTAGCTGTACAGTAGTGTTTATAAATGGATTACAATAAAAAATAACAAGTACGTTTGTTATAGGTATCTCTTAATATTTGACATTGAGTGTAAATCTTGAAGTACAGTAATATTGGTTTATCTTGGTTGGTTAGTTTAATTCTATCATTAAAGGCATTTCTTTATCTCTTCTCCTTTGTCTTACTGCTGCTATTGATGATATGTGCACATCTCTTCTTGACAATAAGGTAAGGCTGTTGAAAGTGGAGTACATGAAGAGGTTAACTACCTTTGGCTGTAGTTGTTTGCATTCTGTATCCCGTGTTAAGTAGTATACTACAGTGAGTAGCACTAAGGTCAGGCGTATAGTATAGTGTGCTAGATAAGGAGGGTCGGTCAATCGATGAGGTAGTGAAGCTATATTGATTGAGATGGAGTGCCAAGCCGCTGCCTTTCTCGTCAAGAAACCTTAGCCAAAACAGAATTAGATTGGAAAAAGAACTAGGGGTGGGGTGAAATCGAAACCTAGCATCAATCTATAAAGCCTGGCTTTTAGTTTTAGCTACGTGTTTAGGTGTAGGCTGCCTGGCTGGGGTGGGGTGGGGTGGGGTCCTTGAGACTGTTAATGCTGTAGCCAAAAATCGTCCTCAGTGACTTCAGATGTATTCAGTGTTTATAATCTCCTAGATTATTCTGCTCATGATAATTTTTTGAATTTTTCGCCATTTTGGGTGCTATACGGGATGTGACAACTTGAACTGCTGTACTTCTGTGCTAGGTTCTGCTTTGAAAACTTAGTCAGTCATTTTTTTCTCTTCCCTTTCTCTTCTTCGTCATATCATCCTTATCACTTGGTGTAGGAGTTATGCTACATAGCACAAATATTGTGCATATATTTTAAAATGGTTCTTTGGATTGCTTTTTTCTGTGTACAGAACAAGGTTGTGTTTTCTCAGTGATGATATATTCAACTTTCCGTTGTTTGCTAATCTGTCTGATTTGTTGAAGCGTGTGAAGAGTAGCGTAGGTAGTATGTAACATGTGAAAGTGAAGGTGTCGCTCATTGGCTTGAACAATTGGCCTTCAGTCAGCTTGTCCTAGTTTCGAATCCCACTCGACCTGCTTTACTTTGGACAACTGGGTAGTATCATCAGCCTTTAGACAATTAGTGTTGCTCATGGCCTACTATACATGGGAAATTTGTTCTGGTTAACTGATTTCAAATAAACAAACTGAGTGTAACATGTGAATGCTGATACCAGGTGTAATGCTAACTGCCTATTATTTGTAGTGATGAAGTATTAAATTAGTTTTGGTCAATAGTCATCATGAGTGTTACTGAACAATACAGTTGACAATGAGCCACAGCTTATTGCCTGAGGACTGGTTATACTACCCGGATCTGTCCAGACATCGCTACGTACAGCGGGAATCGAACTCGTGACCGACCCACTGGTTGGATAGAAGTGAAACACCTAGATGGGGACCAATGAGCCACAGATTATTTTTCTTCTTTTCAATGAGTTTTTGTGTGCCAACGGAAGAAACATATATATTCAGTGTGAAATGCATCTTCATGGTTGTCACTTAACCTCATTCACTTTTATATTTTTGTTTACTATTTTGAAGCTTATGCAAAAGAATGAGGAAGCCACTGAAAGGCTTGAATATGTTAAAAAGGATATACGAAAACAAATTATTATGCTACAAAGGGAATTAAAGAAAATGGATGCTGCCTGCAATCAATTAGAACAAAACACTCATAAGGCTGAACGAAATAATGACAATAATTCTTCCGACCCAACCAAATCATGATTATATATACATTTATATATGTTGATGCACTTACTTGACAGTTGTGTCGGTGAGAAAATATTTATACTTTTATTAAATATTTCAATTGTAACAACTTTATATAAGGTTGAATTATGTAAGTATTTTTTGCTATTGATGCATTGCACAGTGATGTACACCAGGTGTTAAGCAAAATAAATTGAGCATAAATATGCACAACTCTTTACACTATTGGTTGATTGAAATGAGTAATTGACTACCACTCATATCAACCGGTGGTCGTGGTGGTGTTGGTGGTGCTTCCTAGTCAGGTGGAAGTGATCTGAACAGTAGAGTTAATGATAATAATGATAATCTGCTTTATTCCAAAAACAGTACTTATAGTACAGAATGGAATTCTCGGCATTTGTCACAATATCGCATTCTAATACAATACAATAATATACCGTTAACTGGATTTGTTCGACTGTAACACTTGTCAAAAGACAGCCTAATAACACATATTAGCGGATCAAGTTTGTTTGATTTCCGATTATGCGCGAGTCTTCGAGATTTAATATGGTTCGGACAGATCAATTCTCGAAACAGGGATGTAAGGCGTTAATTTTCGAATAACTAAGGGAACTCGGTGAATCATGTTGTACTTGACTAACAACAGTTACAATGATTTCCTGATTAGGCATGTCGATTCTGGTAAACGTTTTGCAGTGAAGCTCGACAGCAGTAGAATCCTATACAGTATCAAGAGACGAATGATATGTTGTGATAACTAGTGGTCGAATTCCTAAAATCATTGCACATAGCATTCTAAGTGTTATGTGAATAGAACTTGGGCACTGTGGTGGAGTATAGTAATAACAATTATGATAATAATGATAATACTAATCTGCTTTATTTCAAAAGGTTACTTATAATACAGAATGGAATTGTCAGCATTTGTCACAATATTGCATCTAGTTAAGTCAAAATGTGAATAAAATTAACCACAGGAATTGGTCCACATACACGGCATAAAGTCAAGAAATATTCGAGGTACAAAATGAGAATAATGAATATAGTAATAACAGTGGGTGTGTTTCAAACAGTATTGTCGATAGAGTTTGGAAATTTTGGTATTTTACAGATTATTGAATCTAATGTTCTGTTGATTATAGCAGCATGGTGAGGGGTAAGACAAAATTAACAGCTATTGCACAGCTTAAGTGATGTTTACACTTATGAGGAAATAGAAACAAAACAATTGAGAGAATTATAAGTATAAGAAGAACAATAACAATAAAGCTTGGTGGAATTGTATGTATGTAAATTTATGTATTTAAATGCGATTGTATAGCTTTTTAAAATGAAATCGCCGAAAGGGTATCTTTGCTGAACTTCGTGTTCTCTTCTCTCTAAATGATAATTTGTCACTGTTGTTCAGCTTCCTTGATGAGTAGTAGTATAAACCTAGGCGAATTAAAGGAAAAAATTCATCTGTAAGCGGAACCGTCTTACGATTATTGTCCTTAATCATTTTAGTCTGTCTGTTTTCGACATAGAAGTCACAAGGAGTGGATGCATCTGCACCAGCCATTGAGAACGATTTTGAGCCATTGCATCAATTGTTTCCAAGCATTGGTTTTTACCGTTCCGAGGACCCCAACCAGTCAGGAAGTCTACACCTTCCTACGTGGCTGGCTTGAACTAACTGTTGTAGATTTCATTGACTGGTGCCATGTTTTGGTTTGACCGCCGCTAGCTCTTTTCCGGCCTGACCCTATATCAGCTAACATTGCCCATTGTCGAGGAAGGCGATGACTGGGCATAGGTAACACATGTGCTAACCATCTCAGTCGATATAATTTCATAGCGTCGTCGATTGATTTCCCCTCATCATCATCAATTATATGATGGATTTTTTAGAAACTTATATGAAAATGGGTTACTGTTGACTGAAGATAGTCATTTCAACTCAAAAGTAGTACTAATAATGTATTTCTAACAAACGCCTAGGAAATTGCGTTTAAGAAGAATGAAGTAGCTAGTATTACAGCAACTAAGTTGTAGTCTACTTAGCAGAGTAAAAAGTGTAGTGGAACAATCAGTGATAAAATTATGTATAATGATCCTGAAGAAAACAGCCGGTTAACAGACCGATTTTCATACGGTGGGCATTAGACATTGCAAAGTAACCCTTCAACTTATATAATGTTAAAAATACTGCGAAATATTATAAAGATTATACATTTTAGAAAAGTGTATGAGAAAAGGTGGTTATTGGCTGAGTAAAGTCATTCAGACACAAAAGATAGTATTGTATTATTAACTGTATATACATATGTAAAATATTAAAAGGTGTGGTTGCTAATATAATTGTTTCTAGAAATGCTTATATTAACATAACTTATTGAAGACTATACATAAAGGAAAATTAGTTAAACGTTTGCTGTGTAAGTAGTAGAGTCGAGTTATATGTAACTGACTAAGCTGAAGACTGGACCGGCTTTCATTTACCACTTTACCAACATTTGTGGTCTTTCAGACAAGCTAGGGTGGACATGTTAATGTGTCTTTCTAGGCTCCGTTTGAACCCATCGGGGTTTTCACAACATCTAATTTCAGATGGTAGTTGGTTCCAAGGAGTGCAATATTTAATGGTGAAAAAGTTTGCCCTAATGGATTTTCTGTGGGTAGCCACCTTGACAAGGTAGTCGTGGTTTCGCAGCTGATATGATTTAATATTTTCCCACGTTATGGATGAGTTACTATAACAATGTTTCCTAATGACTTTGAATAGTAGAAATAAGTTGCACTCCACTCTCCTTAACCACAGAGGTTCTAAATTCAGACGCATACTCCTGTCAACATATTCCACTTGTTGGTCAAACCCTATTATGCGTTTCGTTAGGAATCTCTGAACACTTTCGATTTTTTTCGGTCTGCATACCTTAGGTTACTATACAGGAGAGCACGATATTCACGTTTGGGGCGGATACATGTTCTATATATAGCTAATCTTGCTTCTTGGGTGTAGAAGTTACGCAGTACAAAGCCAATAAGTCGTTTACAGTCAGATACAACCTTATTTGCATGATCGGAGAAGGTTAGATCTGAGTATGTTACCCCGAGATCTGTGACTGTGTTCAGTTTTGAGAGGAGCTTACCGCACATATGTAGGCACATTCTCGGTTTCCAGCGTCCAAGGTGGGCTATACCGCACTTGTCTGGGTTGAAAATCAGTTGCCACTTTTCGCTCCAATCCATTAGATTGTTTAAGTCATGTTGGTCATTTTGCTTTCGACGCTCATATCATCGTACGCGTAATCATATACTATCTTGAGATCATCTGCAAAGAAATATGGCTTGCCATACTTGATCACAGAGACTATGTCATTTACAAATAAGAGGAATAGAATAGGGCCAAGAACGCTACCCTGTGTTACACCACTAGTTATCGGCTTTGATGAAGACAGCTGGTGGTTGATTTTGACTAATTGCTCTCTTTGTGTGAGAAAAGAATTTATCCATTTGAGAAGTTTCCCGGTTATTCCGTAGGATTGGAGTTTTGTTATGAGTCTGATATATGGGACTTTATCGAAAGCCTTGCAAACGTCGAGAAATAATGTTGTTACCGAATGTCCATTATCAATGCATTGTGTAATGTAGTCAAAATAATCTAAGTGGCGAGTAATGCACGACCTTCTACTTAAGAAACCGTATTGGGATGGGGATAGTAGGTCATTTGACAGCAAGTACTTGTAGCGGTAAATAATTCCCCAAAATTATTAACCACAGCAATCATCACTCAACATTGGATGCTGACCATCACTGTTTAAGTCGACTTGTTTAGCTGAAGGCTTACGGTCAAGCATCCCCGCCATTTGGGGCTCCGTCGTGTCACGTGCGTGCACGATTACTAGCTAGCTAAGCATTCACCTCTACCCGCGATTTTGTCCCGAAATATAATACGTACTTTGGACGACAAAATCTGGTCTTTTGCTTTACCATTTGGTACTCGAAGAACGAACACTATAGTGGTTGTTGGTATAAGATCTTGCGTTAGTATAATCCGTACAACTCGCGAACATGTCGATACCTACAGGCAACCACCTAAACTGGTGAGCCCGACCACGAACTACATCTTCAATTCACACGCAGATAAACCCGGTGAGTTCGTTCCTTTTTGTGTTTATTCTTGTACTATATTGTTATCGATATACGTTTCGTCATGAATGATCCTAGCCCCAAAGTTATTCGGATTCGCTCAACCGCCACAACAATCCAGCTAGTACCATATTGGCCAGATAATGCTGAAACGTGGTTTCAGATTTCTGAGTCTGATTTTTGTGAACATGGCATAACTGATCAACGTTCACAGTTCCTTGCAGTTATTCACACCCTACCGCGGGAACTCAGCAAGTGCGTAACTCTGCAGATGTCGGTAAGTAACTCGTACGAGTTGCTCAAAGCATCCATACTCAAGAGAAACGTTCTCACAGATCGACAACGTCTGGATGAGTTATTTCGTAACATCGAGTTAGGAGATAAGTCAGCCGTGAGCATGCTGGCAAGAATGAAAGAGATCATTGGCCAAAGTCAGTTCGATGAAGGACTGTTTAGAGAACTATTTTTATCCAAACTGCCACAGTCAGTTCAGACTGTACTTGTGACACTTCAGGGTGTTCTCATAGATGACTTAGCTGTCTCTGCAGATAGAATTCTAGAGATAACGAAACGGCCAGTTACCGAAGTATACTCTGTTACCGAACAGACTTCGAAGAAGGATTCTGCAATGATAGAGTTATGCAACTCCGTCCAGCAGATGCTTAGGTCAAACAAGCCTGGCAATTCTTCCTATTGTCGTTCTAAATCCCCTCAACGGCTAAACGTACGTGGACGATCTAAGTCCAACACACGTTCTCTCAAAAATCCTGACTGGTGTTGGTATCACAACACCTATGGCAAGGAAGCAAAATGTTGTCGAAAACCTTGTGATTTCGACAAAGCCTCCAAGTCTGTGGGAAACTATCCCGCCGGCACGCGTTAGCGGCAACCGTCGCCGGTGGCACCAGCCGCTTACTTTACATCCATGATGTAATTAGCCAGACTAGATATCTAGTCGACACAGGCGCCGAAGTCAGCGTCCTTCCTGCTACAGCAGCAGATCGACAGAAGGATCCTAACTTCAACCTACAGGCTGCAAATGGAAAACCAATTGCAACCTATGGTCGGAAATACG